CGGCACGCACATGCCCAGTGTTGGTGAATGGTCACGTAATCTGCGTTTTCAGTCGTTTTAATGTGGACGGAGATCGTTTCTAATACGCAGATAAAACGCTGGTGTGGACGGAGATCGTATTCGTTTTAATTCTCCGTTTTTAAACGAAAACGCAGTAGTGTGGACGGGGCCTCAGAGAGTCATTCAGAGTCAGTCAGAGAGTCACTCAGAGAGTCATTCAGAGTCACTCAGAGTCAGTCAGAGAGTCATTCAGAGTCAGAGAGTCATTCAGAGAGTCATTCAGAGAGTCATTCAGAGAGTCACTCAGAGTCAGTCAGAGAGTCACTCAGAGTCAGTCAGAGAGTCATTCAGAGAGTCACTCAGAGTCAGTCAGAGTCATTCAGAGAGTCAGTCAGAGAGTCATTCAGAGAGTCATTCAGAGAGTCACTTAGAGAGTCATTCAGAGAGTCATTCAGAGAGTCACTCAGAGTCAGTCAGAGAGTCATTCAGAGAGTCATTCAGAGAGTCGCTTAGAGAGTCATTCAGAGAGTCATTCAGAGAGTCACTCAGAGTCAGTCAGAGAGTCATTCAAAGAGTCGCTTAGAGAGTCATTCAGAGTCAGTCAGAGAGTCATTCAGAGAGTCGCTTAGAGTCAGTCAGAGAGTCATTCAGAGTCAGTCAGAGAGTCATTCAGAGAGTCACTCAGAGTCATTCAGAGAGTCACTTAGAGAGTCACTCAGAGAGTCGCTAAGAGAGTCACTCAGAGTCATTCAGAGAGTCATTCAGAGAGTCGCTTAGAGAATCACTCAGAGTCACTCAGAGTCAGTCAGAGAGTCATTCAGAGAGTCGCTTAGAGAGTTGCTTAGAGTCAGTCAGAGAATCATTCAAAGAGTCATTCAGAGAGTCGCTTAGAGAGTCACTCAGACAGTCACTTAGAGAGTCATTCAGAGATTCATTCAGAGAGTCGTTCAGAAAGTCACTCAGAGAGTCAATTGATTATTGATGGATCATTTGATTGTGACTGGTTCATACAATGATTAAAAGTTTCAAAGAGAATAATTCAAATAGTTGAGTCAGTCAGAGTCACTCAGAGAGTCACTCAGAGATTCACTCAGAAAGTTCTAATTTTAATTTTCTTCTGACCTTCTGTGTGTGTGTGTGTGTGTGTGTGTGTGTGTGTGTGTGTGTGTACCTGCTGTACTCAGTCAGAGGTGCCCAGTTGATTCCCTCAGGGAAGCAGAAGAGATGAGCGGCCTTCATGCACTTCTCCTCTTCCTCTCGCTGCCGTCGCCCCATCACCTCACGCTACACACACACACACACACACAGGTCAGTATACACTGATGTATATATGATGACGATACGAGGCCTGAGTCTGACCTTGGGGAACTGGTACGTGATGTGAGGCTCGTAAGCTTCCTCGCTCTTCCTCTTCCTCAGACTGACCACCAGCAGGTACTCGAAGAACAGCTGACCCGTGTGACTGCGGTCCGGAGCCGGCTCAGGCCTCGGGGCCGGCGGTGCGGAGGGGTCGGAGGCGCTGCGCTCTACACACACACACACACACACACACGTTTGTTTTTCCTTAGAAACACACACAAGACCTTTAACAGCGAGGAACCACAGCGATGCGACGCTCACTGACTCATTGTGCTGCCAAACCTCACAGGAAACGCATCACTCATCAGATCCACTTCAGCAAACAACAACATTTATTCAAGACACAGCAAGAGTCCAGCACAACCCACAGACTGTCATACAAGCGCATCTGTCCATCATAAATGAGTGTGTGTGTACCTGCTGAAGATGCACATGTGGTTAGAGACTAGGTGAACGTGTGAAACAGGATGTGTGTGTGTGTGTGTGTGAGAGAGAGACTCACTGGATCTGTGCAGTTTCTCCTGAAGCGTCGAGAACATGGAGCTGATCTTCTTCATGGCTCCGAGATCCATTTCTGATCCACACGCCAGGACACCAGCTACACACACACACACACACTGTTAATCTGCAATGATAGTGACACGTCAGAGCAAGGCGAGCACTTGAGCTTATTTATTGATAAGACCCTTATTCATCGTCTGGTGTCGTTTAAAGCCCTTTGAAGCTGCACTGAAAGTGACTTTTGGACCTTGAACCGTTTGGACCCCATTGAAGTCCATTATATGGAGAAAATGCTGGAATGTTTTCATCAAAAACCTTAATTTCTTTTCCACTGAAGAAAGAAAGACGTTGACATCCTGGATGACGAGGGGGCGAGTAAATTATCAGCTAAAGTGTTTTTAAAGTGAACTCCTCCTTTAATTCCACTTGGTGGGAAACTCTGAAGAAATTAGGACTGAATCATTTTCCGCTTTCATTTTCTTATTTCCAGTCAAGGTTCAAGAGGCCAAACAAACAGAACAAGAGTGTGTGTGTGTGTGTGTGTGTGTGTGTGTGCGTGAGTGATAAAGAGAAACAAGACACACACAGTCTTCAAGTCTCACTTCTACAACAGAAGACAGTTCATCCGTCACACACTTCAGCTCAGGAACTTCCTAAACACTGACTAAAACCTTTAAGTCTTCAGTCTTTAACACACACTTACATTTGTGCTAAAGTTACTTCATCACAAACTTACAATGGACAAACATAAAAATAGCAGTTTTCAGAGGCTGAGGCGGTAAACATCATGAGCTCAGTATTACACCTCAACATGTGTTTACCATGGTCAATGTGTGTGTGTTTATCATTTAATGAGTGTTATGTGTGTGTGTTTGTACTCACTGTCGGACGGAGTGTGTAGTTGTTGTGCAGTCCTCCACTTCTCTCTGTTCATCTCTGTCTGATGCTGCTGAATCTCTGACTCGAACACACACACACACACACACTCACAAAGATAGAGAGACAGAGAGAGAGAAAGAGAGAGAGACAGCCTGTCAGTGGCGATCAAACACGTGTCCAGCGGAGGGGCGGGGTCTCCACGTTTAGCCACGCCCACAGCCAAACTCGCCGCGCTTATGATAAACATAAGTTCGTGTGTAGGCTTCATTTAATAAACTGAATTAAATAATTGATTGTGAAATATAATTATATATAGTCATATCAAGAAAATAGAGACGTGAATGGACTCTTTCAACGAAAATTACTACCAACACACACTAATGCCATTATTTGGTGGTGATGTGACAAGTAATTTTAAAACAACCCCAAAGTTTATGATCATGTTATGTGTGTTTATTATGTCCACTAGAGGTCGCGAGATTTGACCTACATTCAGTAGTTTGACCTAATCCACACTAAACACGCGCTGCGATGTCGATTCACTCCTTCAAACTACTTCAATATCACTGTTTTACAAAACTAATGTTGGGTATTTAATGTTTGATTTGTTTCCCATATCACTCGTGGCTAGACTAGAACGCCGGTTGTTTACATTTGAGTTACAGTCGTCGAGTCCAATCACATGCTGAGGAATGTGAGCCTGAACGGAGGTGACCAATCAGAAGCCCGATTTCAGTATCATATGGATGTGGCCGTCCAATAGGAAGTGAGGAGGAGGGCGAGATCAGGTCATAGAAGCGATGTTTTGGGTTCTGGCTCTGCTATGGCTAATTCGCATATTCACACGTTATGATCCACTATTAAATATTAATTAGTTGTCGGTAATTGTATACAAACACAAGGTTTGTGTTTCCAACGTTTAATTGGTTGAAGTGTCGGACTGGATGTTGTCTGAGGCGAACTGAAGGTGGGAGACATAGTTTTGATCATAAAAAAGTAATCGGTAAAACATTAAGTTAAATGACAAACATTATTATTTAAATATTGATCTATGTATAAATATTCTAGCAATACAGTGCATATTAATCTAAAGATGCGTATTAAATTTGAGCTGTGTTCATGTTTAGCTCTCGGTCACGTGGTGAAATGTGAAGCTAAAGGTGCTGTCGTAATGGATCATAACTTAAATATATATTATTAATTATATACGTTAGATATAAAGATTTGTCTTAATTAATGTACTGCAGGTTCACATGTACCATTGTGATGTTTTGGACACCACCATAGTAATACAATGATTTTTGTCAATTACCATAATAATACGATGTTTTGGGACTTATCATTTTGGTGATGCCGTCTTTTTACCATGGCAAAACCTTCATTTGAACCTTATCATTATGACAAAACCATTTTTTTTATGTTTACCATGGTTATACCATATATTTGGCCTTATCATTATTGAAACGCCGTGTTTTTTACATTTACCATGGTAACATCACGTTTGGGCGCTCTCGCCGCTGATAAAGAGCTTGTTGGATTGCCTGTGTTTCAGACTCGTTCGCCATGAGCCACCGCACCATCCACCTGTTCCGCAAAGGCCTACGCCTGCACGATAACCCCGGCCTGCAGGGGGCGCTAGCCTCGTCCGCCGTGCTGTTCCCCGTGTTCGTGCTGGACCGCGCGCTCCTCGAGGAGACGACGGCCGTGGCTCCGACCCGCTGGCGCTTCATCCTGCAGAGCCTGGAGGATCTGGACGCGCGTCTGCGTGCGCTAGGCTCGCGGCTTTACGTCCTGCGCGGCTCGACGGCGACTGTCCTGCGCGACCTCGTGACCCGCTGGAGCATCACGCGGATCAGCTACGACACCGAGGTGGAGCCGTATCACGCCCGCGTGGAGCGGGACATACAAGCGCTCGCGGAGGAACGCGGACTGCAAACGCACACGTGTGTGTCGCACACGCTGTACGACGTCCAGAGGTGCGCGGCGCGACGACGCGTCATGAGCGAAGAACCGCGTGATTAACGCGTCAAAGGCATAGTTCACCCAAAAATGAAAATTAGCCCGTAATTTACTCTCCCTGAAGCCATTCTTGGTGTGTATGACACTCTTCAAAGCTTGGAAGAGCCTTAGATTCATACATCTCACACACACCTGGGATGTCTCGAGGGAGAGAGGATCATGGGCTGGTTCAGGTGTGTGTGTGTGTGTGTGTGACCTGTTTCTGCCTCTCTCCAGGATCATTCAGGCTAACGGCGGCTCTCCTCCGCTCACATACAAGAAGTTCCTGCACGTTCTGTCGGTTTTGGGCGAGCCAGAGAAACCGTGCCGGGACGTCAGTGCTGAGGACTTCCTGTAAGGACCGTGTGTGTGTGTGTGTGTGACGCTCTCATCGAGCAGATGCTTCTTCAGTCTGCCAAGTGTGTGTGGGAATGAATCGCAGACGGGAGAATCTGTGACTCATCGTGATGGCAATGCCGTGTTTTGGGCCTTACTGTGACTGTAATTCCACGTTTGTTTTACATTGACGACGGTAAGAGTGTGTTGGTGATGGGTGTGAGTGTGTGTGCAGGAGATGCCCGACCCCTGCGGATCCCGAGCTGGCGTACGGCGTCCCGTCTCTGGCCGATCTGGGTCTGGAGGTTCAGTCTGAGACACTGTGGCCCGGCGGAGAGACACACGCGCTCCACAGGCTCCACACACACTTCCAGAGTCAGGTGCGACTACACACACAGTCTGAGTCATTCGTTCACTGAGTCATTCGTTCACTGAGTCATTCGTTCACTGAGTCATTCATTCACTGAGTCATTCGTTCACTGAGTCATTCGTTCACTGAATCATTAATTCGCTGAGTCATTCGTTTACTGAGTCATTTGTTCACTGAGTCATTTGCTGACATATTCACTGAGTCGTTCATTCACTGAGTCATTCATTCACTGAGTCATTCATTCACTGAGTCATTTGTTCACTGAATCATTCATTCGCTGAGTCATTCGTTCACTGAGTCATTTGTTCACTGAGTCATTTGCTGATATATTCACTGAGTCGTTCATTCACTGAGTCGTTCATTCACTGAGTCATTTGTTCACTGAGTTATTTGTTCACTGAGTAATTTGCTGATATATCATTCACTGATTGGTTCACTGAGTAATTCATTCACTGAGTTAATCGTTCACTGAGTCATTTTTTCACTGAGTCATTTGCTGATATATTCACTGAGTCATTCGTTCACTGAGTCATTTGTTCACCTGAGTCATTTGCTGATATATCATTCACTGATTGGTTCACTGAGTAATTCATTCACTGAGTCAATCGTTCACTGAGTCATTTTTTCACTGAGTCATTTGCTGATATATTCACTGAGTCATTCATTCACTGAGTCATTTGTTCACCTGAGTCATTTGCTGATGATTGGTTCACTGAGTAATTAATTCACTGAGTCATTAGAAAACTTTTTTTTTCATTCTTAACTAATAATAAAAACTCTTTTATATCAAACTCTTAATAATCACTGGTTGGTAACTCAAATAAATCTGAAATGAAGTCAAATAGAAATTTAACATGAAAAACTGAAATGAATATTTGAAATGTTTCCTTGGCAACTAACTAATAAAATAACTTCTGTAATTTCTAAAACTAAACTGAAATAAAAAATATCAAATCTAAATAGAAATATTTTAAACGAGTCCGTCAGTTTTGTTATTGTTAACTAAAAGTTGAAGTATTACAATTTGTGTTTGGTCATTGAAATGGTCAAATATTAGTCTAACATGAATGAAAAATATCATTGCATGATCTGATTGGTTCGGTACTGACGTGTGTGTGTGTGTGTGTGTGTGTAGGGATGGGTGTCGAGCTACTGCAAGCCGCGTACGGTGCCGAACTCTCTCCTGCCCAGCACTACAGCGCTCAGCCCGTACCTGAGCCTCGGCTGTCTGTCGGTGCGCAGCTTCTACCACAGACTCGCCAGCGTCTACGCTCAGGTCAGACTCTTCTCCAGAGCGGCTGCTGATCTGATGTGTGTGTCAAACTTCAGCTCAAAATCATTTATTATAGCTTGTCAAATTTGCCCTTTTTGGGTGTGAGCAAAAGCACGTCGTTTCTTTGTGTGTGTGTGTGTCCCTTTAAATGCAAATGAGCTTTAGCTCCGCCTCCATCCAGAAGAGGGCGGAGCCTTCACACAAGCTTCACAGACTCCGGCAATAACAACACAGGCCGATCCGACTGACTCACCAGAACACAGTTACTGGGTTTCACTGTTCACGTGTTCTGGGTAGAAGAACCCGATTACAGCACACACACACACACACACACACGGAGAGAGTCTGGTGTTCATGATGTGTCCCTGAGCTTCTGACGTTCTCCCTCCGCAGTCGAAGAACCACTCGCTGCCGCCCGTGTCTCTTCAGGGCCAGCTTCTGTGGCGCGAGTTCTTCTACACCGTTGCGGCCGCCACGCCAAACTTCACCAAGATGGAGGGGAACCCGATATGTCTGCAGATCCGCTGGTACCACGAGCCCGAGTCTCTGGAGAAGTGGAGAACCGTAAGAGAACCGCATGTTCAGCGCCTGTGCCAGAGTCCTGCGCGGGTCCGGTTTGATAAACCCACTCCGCAGTTACTAACAGAACACACGACAGGAACACTAACCTTAGTCCCGAACCGGACCCGCATTTAATCTCCTACGGGAGGTAGTGTTAGGTAAATCACTGAGTCATTCACTCACTAAGTCACTCACTGAGTCATTCATTCACTGAGTCATTCACTGAGTCACTCACTAAGTCATTCACTCACTGAGTCATTCATTCACTGAGTCATTCACTCACTGAGTCACTCACTGAGTCACTCACTGAGTCATTCACTCACTGAGTCATTCACGGAGTCACAGTCATTCACTGAGTTATTCACTCACTGAGTCATTCACTGAGTCATTCATTCACTGAGTCATTCACTGACTGAGTCATTCACTGACTCATTCACTCACTGAGTCATTCACTGAGTCATTCATTCACTGAGTCATTCACTGACTGAGTCATTCACTGACTCATTCACTCACTGAGTCATTCACTGAGTCATTCATTCACTGAGTCATTCATTTACTGAGTCATTCACTCACTGAGT